CCATGGTACTCTACCCAGGGGGACAGCTTGAGGCTCTGTCTCAAAAAAAAAAAAAAAAAAGAAAGAAAATACAGGCATATAACATATATACATATAAGAACATCAAATTGTAGCTCATAAAACATATTATTATACTGTGCCAAAAAAAATTAGGCTGCCTAATGAAAGACACAGTAAACTATCTACATCAGGTGGTTCATGACCAACTACTCCAGAAAAAACAAATGATCACTGATGTCCTTAACCCAGGGAAGGCAACAATACCTAAGATAGAAATTCAGGAAAAACAAGCCACAATGTGTAAGACACACCAGTGTTGTCTTTGCATCTAGAATCAGAAATCATTTTGTTAGGGGCAAGACAACTGGCTTTGGTATAGTTTATGGTTCCTTGGATTACTACACAAAGACAAATGAACACAAACAGACTTTGCAAGACATGACCTAAAGTAAGAAAAGACCTCAAGGAAACAGCGAAAGTAGGGACTGGCAAGGTGGCTCACACCTATAATCCCAACACTCTGAGAGGCTGAGGAGGGCAGATAACCTGAGCTCATAAGACCAGCCCGAGCTAGAGAGAATGAATACAAAAACTGTAGTACCAGGTGGGCTTTACCCAGATTTCAAACAATGTTGCAGACAGTCTGGGGGCCCTGGCAGAGACTTGTCACGGAGGCAGAGCTCCAGAGGCAGAGCTAGGGCAATGTCCAGCAGAGCTAGAGGAGCAAGGCCACAACAGAGTTCCCACTAGGGCAGTGCCTAGAGGAGCCATGGGAGTGGGGCTATCCCCCAAACCACAGAGGCATAGGGACACCAGTGTGCAACTGCAGCCTGGGAAAGCTGCAGGAATGAGACTCCAACCCATGAGAGCAGCTGCATGGACTCAGCTTAGTAAAGCCATAGGGGCAATCCCATCTGAGGCCTTGGCTTCCCAAACCCTGCCCAAGCGTGTCCCCAGGATGCAGGACACGAACTCAAAGGAAATTATTCTGGAGTCCCAAGATTTAAAATTGTTGTCCCTCTTGGATTTTGGACTTACTTGGGACCAGTTACTCCTTTCTTCTTGCCTATTTCTCCCTTTTGGAATGGAAATATCTATCCTATGATTATCCCCCCACTAGATTTTGGAAATAGATAAAATAGGCTCATAGCTGGAGGGAAATTTGCCTCAGGATGATTCATGCCTTGAATCTCACCCATATCTGAGTTAGATGAGATTCTGGATTTTGGATTTTTCAGTTGATACTGAAATAAGTTAAGTCTTTTAGGACTATTGGGATCAATTTTGCATGTGAGAAAGACAGATTTGAGATTTGAGGGGCGGGGGTACAATGCTATGTTTCGAATGTGTCTCCCAAAGATCATGTGTTAGAAACTTAATACTCAGTGCAACAGTGCTGAGAGGTGGGAATGTTAAGAAGTGATTGAGTCAAATGGATTAATGATGCTACTTCAAGTGTGGGTTCATTATCGAGTGGGTTTGTTATAAAACATAGTTCAGCTCTCTCTTGCACTATGGGATGGCCTCTACCTTGTAGTGACTAAGCAAGGCCTCCCCAGATGTGGCTCCCTCAGACTTGGACTTTCAGGCCTCCAGAACTGTAAGAAATATATCTGCTCTTTATAAAATGCCCAGTCTCATGTACTGTTGTAGCAGCACAAAACAGACTTAAGCTGCACTCATATTAAACATGCATACGCTATTACTCTACTGATATAGCACCATATTTGTTCTCCATGTCATTGCCAAGCTCTGTAATATTTACCCTGAATATGAAAAAAGATGCTCCTATTGATAGGAATAGGTTTCAACTGCTGTTTCTGAGAGTCATACATCCATTTTAGAAAAGAACAGAGAGACCCAAATCGATAGAGATCTGCCTTTATTGGCGATGTCCGTCTTCTTTATGGTTAGGGTGGATGATACTGATGTACAAACAACTTGGCCTGGGACTGTCACCTGACTCTGTACATGCAGAGGTATAAATCCTTTATATTTTCATCTGCATTTGCCTATTTCTGCTTAGACATAATTTGAAAGCCAACTTAGACCTTGTACTTTTTGATTATGTTAAATACTCATAATGAATGCAGTATGAGCTTCAAGTGAGCTTTCGTGATCGTAAGTGAATCCTAAGTAATCACAGGCTTTCAGATAAGATAAACATACACATTTAAGTAAGACAGAAATGAGTCTCACATAAAATTGCAATAAAAACCCATGATCAAACCAATAATGTACTTTTTAAAGGTAATTTATGTGGAAATTGGAAGGGTCAAAAGACAAAAAAAAGCATAGACAAAACACTCCATCTTAAAGTAAATCTGTAACTTGAAAAAAAAAGTCTGAGCACGGTACATAGTTTTACGGCAAAAAATTTAACTACAAAAAATTCCAGCAACACAAAATCCTCAGTGACTGGCTGAGGTTTTTGCATCAGCTGGCACATATGGTAAACAGGGTTCCCATGAAAAGCTTTCCATCCTTCAGCTGTCTTGTGTCCAAAGGTAACTTCAGTGAGGATATAAGGTTCATGACTCCTAGGGTTAATGCCATCCACTCAGGAAAACTGACATATCCCTGACCAACTCTAGGGATGTGTGAGCACACATCATGGAGTGAGAATCAGTTTTAGAAATTTTAACAAAATATTTGAATTTTTGCCGCTAATCAAGAAGTGTTTTGCCATCTGGTTTACATTCAAGACCTAGCTGGCTCATCATTCCCAGAAATAAACTTTCTTCTGGATTAGGAAACTTCATCATGAGATTTGAGATATATTGGTTTGGAAAGTTTTCTCAGTTTCTCTTGGCTTCGAAGTCCCCGGCCTCGTAGAGGGGTAAGGCCCATCGGAGGCAGATGAATCTGAATAATAAGAATAGTGGTATTAAGAATCATACTCATAATCATTGCAGCAGTTATATTCATTGAGCATTTACTAAATACTCTACTTCCTGCTAAGTGCTAACTCTATACTTACTCAACATTAATCTTTATAATAACCTCATAACAGGTAAGAAAATAGAATCTCAGAGAAAACTTACATAACTTGCTCAAGATTATATGTTAAGTGGTAAAGCCAGGATTTGAACAAAGATCTGTCTGGTTCTAGAGTTTGTGCTCTTCTTTGCCATATTTCCTTCATGGAGGAAAAAAAATGACAATGAATCCACAAGCAGAGAAGAGAATTCAAAGAAGTGGGAGAAAAAAGTATATGTTTACAAAGATGTTCATTGCATAGTGGAAATTGGAACCAAACTAAATGCCTTATAGTAACAAGCTAATTAAATTACAGCTGTCAACCTGGTTGGCTGTAGGGTGCCCTAATTAAACATCATTTCTGGGTGTATCCGTGAGGATGTTTCTGGATGAGATCAGTGTTTGTATCAGTGGATTGTAAGTGGGCTGCCCTTCCTGGGGGGGTAGGCATCATCTAGTCTGTTGAAGGCCTGAATAGAACAAAAAGGCAAAAAGAAGAAAGTACTGGGCCCTGCCTGCCTGTTTGAGCTGGGACTCCTCAACTTCTGGGATTTCCACCATTGGCCAACTTGGTTCTCAAGCCTTCGGAACTAGCCTGAAATACACACCTGCTTTCTCCTGGGTCTCCAACTTGCAAATGGTAAATCATGGGAATTCTTAGCCTCCATAATCATAGGAGTCAATTCCTCATAATAAATCTCCTTTTATATATATCTAGATATGTCTATCTCTAGCCTACTGGTTCTGTTTCTCTGAAGAACCCCAACTACTTCAATGGCACATTCTTACAATAGCACACAGTACAACTATTTAAAAAGACTGAGGTAGAGCTGTCTACAAACATGTTCAGAAGACATAAAGTAAAATAAGCAGGCAATAGAACAGTATGCCCAGAATTTCACATATGAAAAGAAATTGTGTGTACATGAAAAGACTAAAAGGATATAGTACCAAACTATTAGGTTGAACCAATACAACACAATATTGCTGATTTTGTAGGTCAATGAGTTGAATCTTGGCAATGTCATACAGTCCAATCAGTTATAGTGGTCACTTCTATCAGGTAAGAATTTTCGACAATTTTCACTTACTCCTCATGCATTCCTTTAATGCTTGAACTTTATTCTTTTAATAACAACAAGTCCATCTTTTATTATAAGGAAAATAAAAACGTTCCCTAAGAAAAGATGAAAAGTCAAAAGAGAAAGCTATATACATGTGAGCTGGTTTTCCCTCCATATGTGGACAAGATGTACAAGTAGGAGAAATCATGCATTCATTGACATTTTAGTTTGTTGTGAGGGGTTGGCGGCATGCAAGGATAGCTTATTTCCAACATGCCTCCCACATTAGCTCTGGGCTTCTCAGCAGGCACTAGCCCTCTTGGTACACATTCCTGGAAATAACTGGGTTGATGAGGATAAGTACCCACCACCTGGTACTGGAGTCACACTTACTGGCCGAGGGTAAGGAATCTGGTAATGTAGTCCAATTTCAATCCTGGCTGTGCATTCATCTATACACTGTTTAATCAGGTCTGTGTCTGTGAGCTATTAAAAGGGAAGAAGAAATGAGGCTGTTCTTTCTAATGACATAAAGTATAGGTGTATTCTTTCTCACACTTTTTTTAGTTCATTAGCTACTATTAAATATTGATAATTTGAAGTATCAAAAGCAACATAATATTAAAATTTACTATAGATTAAACTTTTAAAATTGTTCTAATAGGGCGGTGCCTGTGGCTCAAAGAGTATGGCACCGGCCCCATATACCGGGGGTGGTGGGTTTAAGGCTGGCCCTGACTAAAACTGCAAAAAAAGAGAATAAATTAATCTTAGCAAAATAAATAAATAAATAAATAAAATTGTTATAACAAGTAATAAATACACATGGTAAAAAAAACTTCAAATAATACCAAAGGATATAAGGTAAAACCTACATTTCCCTCTTACCCTTGTTTCCTGGTTCCCCTTTCCAGAGACAACAATTAGCAGTTTCTTGTGTGCCCTTCCACATGTATATAAGCACACCTCTGACAGGCTTAGTTTTGTTTTTGTTTTTTTTTTTAAGAGGCTTAGTTTTTTTCCTTATACTAATGATAGCTTCCTTTGTTTTGAACATTGCTTTTTTACTGACATAAACATAGAGAGCTGCCCCACTGTATAGCTTTTCAACAGCTATACAAAATTCCAACATAAGTCTTTATAATTTAACCAATCTCCTATTTGTGGACATTTATATTATTTCCAATCTTTTGTCCTTATAAACAATTCTGCTGTGGATCCCTCAGAACTTTTTTTGGCTCACATATATATCTGAAAGATGAATTCCTAGAAGGAAAACTGCAAGGACAAAGAGTATACATTTAAACATTTTTAATGCTTATAGATATTCCCAAATTACTTTCCAGAGTTTGCACCAATTTATATTCCAACCAAAAACTATAAATTTTATTACCAATAACACTAAATGAGAGTGCTTCTTCACATACACCCCCCACACTGATTTAACTTAAAGTCAGGCTTGGCACCTGTAGCACAGTGGTTATGGCACTGGCTACATACACCCAGGCTGGTGGGTTCCAATCTAGCCCAGGCCAGCTAAATGATGACAACTACAACAAAAATAGCCAGGCATTGTGGTCAGCACTTGTAGTCCCAGCTACTTGGGAGGCTGAGGCAAGAGAATTGCTTAAAGCGTCTGAGGTTGCTGTGAGCTGTGATACCACAGCACACTACTGACATAGTGAGACTCTGTCTCAAAAAAATAAAATAAAAATAAATAAACAAATAAATAAACTGGTGGCTCGGTGCCTATAGCTTATAGGGCGTCAGCCACATACACTGGAGCTGGTGGGTTCAAATCCAGCTGGGGCCTGCCAAACAACGACAACTACAACCAAAAACAGCTGGGCATTGTGGTGGGCACCTGTAATCCCAGCTACTTGGGAGGCTGAGTGAAGAGAATCGCTTAAGCCCAAGAGTTTGAGGTTGCTGTGAGCTATGATGCCACAGCACTCTACCAAGGGCAACAAAGTGAGACTCTGTCTCAAAAAATAAAAATAAAAAATAAACTAAAAGTCACCGAATTGTTTCTGAAGTGCAGTCCAAAACCCCTAAGATATTAGAGAATGCTCTACCTCTTATTTGAAACAGTAAAATGCCTTGCTCGTTAGCAAAGAGAACAAAGTGCTTTTGAAATTCCAAGATAGCCAAATCATGATAATCTACTTTCAAGTAAAGGAAAGGAAAGTTCATTTGAAAAACAGAAAGCCAAGTAGGAGAAGGGGATAAACTTTTATTCCAAGGAAGGAAAATGAATCAAGACGTGGCATTACTACAAGTTTGCAAGTGGGCCTCCAAATAGAGCTAGGATTGCATCAGCCCCAGATGACGCCCACAGCAAAATCCATGTGGGACGTGTCCATGTGGCTTAGAAACTCTAAGGGAGTTCCTGTCCTAGGCTACCTCTTAACAGCAGAGGACAAGAGTTCCAGGAACAGTAATACAGAGAACCACAGTTAAGTCCCTTGGGGCAGAGACTCAAGTTTTCTGACCTCTGATTCTCAGAAGTTATTGCTCTTCTGTTCACATTGGGAATAGATTTCCATGTTCCCATTTGCCCATTGAAATTTAAAATAATTTATCGGGTACCTTTGGATTATTAAGCTCTTAGAGGAACTGAAGTTACAAGAAACTCTTTTATCTGCACAGAGACTGGGGAGAAAGGGAAACCCCCTGACAAAGATATAGTTAAGGGGGTTGCGGCTTCTGGGGCTCCAGCTGTCCATCTGAGTAAGTTTGGGCTACAGGACTCCAAAACAACTATTCATGGGTGGCCTGCATGATTTTGCCATGTATATATGCTACCTATGCTATCATTAAAATTTTTCTTTAAATGGACTGACTCTCCTAAGCTGTAGTATTTGTGAAATTGTGTGATATTCCCTTTTCTTTCTAATAAATTCTAAAACAAGTACATATCTTAAAATTAAAAACCCATGTACCTCTTCTCCCACCCCCAAATAATCTCAAGTACATTGCACCATCAGTGGCACACACACCTCCCCTTCTGGCTTACTCCTTGGGTCAATCTAAGAAGCAAAGGAAGGATTATTACAATAAGTGAAAATCCAAAGAGTCTTGAGTAGTCTTAGCTGAGTAAACCTACAGAGATTTATTGGACATGTACTACAGTATCCCCAACACCAGGTTAAACACAGCTTTCCACTACCAAAGTTATTACCTAGGCAGAACAAGTCTGATACAAATAGGTACAGAAAAGGCACAGTGCTTCATAATCAGCGAGGATAATAACTGCAACAGATTGTTCTAAGAATTCAGAATAGGGTGGCCACCACAGGGTTAGGGGAGGAGCAGAGAAACTGAGGAAGACTTTCTGTAGTTCAGTTGAATCAAAGTTGTCATAAATGCTCATTAATTTAGTGACAGTCATTAAGGCAGGAAGATCCCATGTGATAATATTAAGTATAAGACATTGTCTACTTGCTCAAAGAAATGACAAGATCATGCCAACATAAATGAAGCAAAGAAGAAAAAGAATATGAACAACTATTTAGGGTCTCTAAACCTTTTGATCACCAACTCCTTTCATTAAAACACTTCAGGTTGGGTGCAGTGGCTTATGCCTGTAATTCTAGCAATCTGGGAGACTGAGGCAAGTGGATTGCTTGAGCTCAGCAGTTTGAGACCAGCCTGAGCAAGAGTGAGACTCCATCTCTACTGAAAATAGCTGGGCATTGTGGGGCATCTATAGTCCCAGCTACTCAGGAGGCTGAGGAAAGAGGATCATTTGGGCTCTGAAGTTTGAGGTTGCTCTGAGCTATGATGCCATAGTACTTGAGCCTGAAGCAACAAAATGAGATTCGGTCTCAAATTAAAAAAAAAAAAATTCTTGAGCTGGGTGCAGTGGCTCATGCCTGTAATCCCAGCACTTGGGAGGCTGAGGAGAGTAGATTGTCTGAACTCACAGGTTTGAGACCAGCCTGAGCCAGAGCAAGACCTCATCTCTAAAAATAGCTGGGCATTGTGGCGGGCACCTGTAGTCTCAGCTACTTGGGAGACTGAGGCAAAAGAATCACTTAAGCCCAGGAGTTTAAGGTAGCTATGAGCTATGACATCACAGTACTCTACCAAGAGTGACAAAGTGAGACTCTGTATCAAAAAAAAAACAAAAAAATTCTTATCCCTCAGTGCCCATATATATATTTATATTGATTTATAAATGTATTAATTGCTAGCACAGTGGCTCACACCTATAATCCTACCACTCTGGGAGGCCACGGCAGGTGGATTGCTTGAGTTCAGGAGTCCCAGACCAGCCTGAGTGAGACCTCATCTCTATTCAAAATAGAAAAACTAGCCAGGTGTGGCAGGTGCCTGTACTCCAGCTCCTTAGAAGGCTAAGGGAAGAGGATCACTTCAGCTGAAGAGTTTGAGCTAAAATGACAAGGTACTCTACCCAGGGTGATAGAGTGAGACTCTATCTCAAAAAAAGTATTAATTTATAAATTATAAACATACTAATAAATTCATTATAAATATATACAAAACACTTTTTAAAGGATAAAAAAGAATAAATAGAAATAGCAGTTGTAGTCTTTTATTTCTATTCCTCAGAAAATTGTTTATGGACCTCATGGGGTACATAGACTAGTGACTTTTTGTTGTGGTTGTTTAGACAGAGTCTCACTGATAGAGTGCCGTAGTGTCACAGATCACAGCAACCTCTAACTCTTGGACTCAAGTGATTCTCTTGCCTCAGCCTCCCGAATAGCTGGGACTATGGGCGGCTGCCACAACACCTCGTATTTTTTTGTTTAGCAGTTTGGGGCTGGGCTTGAACCCACCAACCCCGGAGCATGGGACTAGGGCCATAATGACTGAGCTATGGATACCCAGCCACTAATAACTTTTTATGCTTTTTTGGAGTTGGATTTTAGAGGAAAGGTCAGAAGGGTTAAGAGAATCTTCACAAAGATTCTCTTTAAGATGGCCTTAAGAAGCAGGGAAGCTTCAGAAGAGTAAGGTATTATAGTTTAGGAGGGTTTCTTTGGTAGCACTTGTCTCAATTGTAATTTTATGTTTTTTTCCCATCTAACTCTCACACATATTTGAGGGCACCTGTCTTGGTTTTGCTCACTTATATGCCCTCAACATCTAGTCTGCTGTGTGGCACATGGTGGGTCTTTCAATATTTGTTGAATGAGGAATGAGAACAAAGTTGCAGAGTAGTGACAGCAATGAGCTGGTTGGGAAGGGCGGCTGCTCTTGTGGAAAGGTGACTCTGCTGTGGACCATGCTGTGGTGAGGTCCTCCAAGTGGCCAGACAGAGGCCAAGGCTAGGTATTCAGATGTGAGACCTGAAACCATAGGTGGTTGTATGTTGCACTTAGCACTAAGTGCAGAGGGCTGATCTTCAGAGGACCTACAGGTGGTAGGATGGTTTGTGAAAATGACAAGGCCAAAAAGAGACAGTCAGAGGTCCAGGAAGGAAAACTAGTGAGAGCAGATTGTTAAGAAGTTTCATGAGGGGAACAGCACTCAATCCATCAGATCTGTGAGAAGAAGGGTGAAGAAAATTCAGGGGCAAAAGCCTCTTTCATGCTTAGTGCTAGGTGGGTCTTCCCAAGGAGCTAACAACTTATTGGGCTGGATTGGGTCAAATTTTGCTCCCTGGTATCTGGGTACACAGTTCTGTTTAACTAGCTAACGGAAGCACTATTTTACCCAATTCTATGGTCCCAAAGGGCAACCTCACTCTGCTAGCCAAAGAGGCTTGAGTTCAAAGCTAAATTATGAAGGGAACTCTGTGTCTAATACTATTCTCTTTCCTCTGAATGGGTTTATATTTGGAGGCTTTGAATAGTTTATGAATTGAAAAAAACATTTCCCTGCATACCTCCTGTGGGAGCGGCTGGCAAAAGACAGTGTGTGAGAAACAGCTCCTCCTCTGAAAACTCTCATTGGCTGACTCATGTCACCTTGTTCATGGGGTCTTCTGAGGATGCTATGTCTGAGGACTACAGGCTGGACTGAGACCCGGAACAAGTGAACACAGAAGCACAGTCTACCCTTGACTTTCCAATGGTCCAACAATCTAGCCAAGCTGTGCCTCTGTCTGCTCCCACTCTGCCACCGTGACTATGCCACTCTGTCCTCTCAATTGAGAACAGAAAAGGAATGAACGAACACCAGAAACTATTCTCCTCCTTGCAATCTCCATGTGGGACTGACTTACTTACATTTTTGTTTTTCTGGAACAGTGTTCTAGCTTCATTTAGTATATACTGTTTTTCTTTGATGGTGTCTTCCATCTGCCCTGATGCCGCCTGCCATCTCCTTGCAAGCCTGAAAATGCTGCGGTAGAGGCCAAGAACTTCTTGTCGTGTTGCCGTTGTCATCTTCCAGACCACCAAAATAGAAGAGGGAAAATTTACATAAAAATGTAATTTGACAGTAGGCAGCTAGGCAGATGTACATTTTTAAAAATCAAGATCTTTAATTAGCCCAGAAATAACTGCTCTTTCTCAAAAGATCTGTTGGGTAGCATTGCCAGAAAGGCAAAGTAGAAACACAAGCTCTCAGATGGCTTTGTACCTTATCACATGATTGAGGGTTGCTTAACCACATTATTTACCATGAAGGCCATGTTTATGAACATAGCAAGACCAAAATTCACATTTACTACTCTTTAAACCAGTCTTACCAGAATATGTTACAAATGATGCTTTCAGTGTATATTCTGGTAAAATTATATTGTTAACCTGAATGCCTAGGAGAAAACATACCTTAGATAACTGAATTTCCTGGTTATGTGAGAACTGGGATTTAGTGCACTGGTTGCAAATAAGTGCCTCCTGGGCCTGGCAGGTGATATAAATGAGGGAAACTGGCTGGATAAGGACAAAGGCTAACTGGAAAGGGAACAGTTGCTACTCAGCTCCCACAAGCTCTTGCCATGTAGTAATGAAGGCCTTGGGATGCCAGATTCCTGATGGTGTAAAAAGAGGTGGCAATCCAGATCTTTAAAATAGAAAATCTCAAAAAAAGACACTAAGTCATCACTTTTGAAAATGTGAGTACCAGGCAGGACAAACAAATTATAGGCCCAGTTCTATCCAGAGGCTCTCAGGTTGCAAACTCTCTTTTAAACGTCTTTGAAAATACTTCTCAAAATCAGTCTACTTTTCTGATAAGAACTGTACAGTAAATATAACCAAAAATCTTTCAGATGACTAATGATCTTGTGGCCCCTCTGGCATTTTACTCTGAAACATCAGTTTAATGTCAGAGGACTTGGCTAAATGAGAACCAACCCAAGTGTATTCCATAAAGCTAAATATATAAAAAAAAATTTTTTTTTTAGACAATCTTACTCTGTCACCCTTGGTAGAGTGTCACAGTGTCACAGCTTACAGCAACCTCAAACTCTTGGGCTTAAGTGATTCTCTTGTTTCAGCCTCCCAAGTAGCTGGGACTACAGGAGCCCACCACAATGCTTGGCTATTTTTGTTGTTGTTGTTGTTGCAGTTGTCATTGTTGTTTTAGCTGGCCTGGGCTGAGTTTGAACCCATCACCCTTGGTGTATGTGGCTGGCGCCCTACCCACTGAACTATGGGCACTGCCCTTAACTATATTTTTTAAAGTAAAATTCTCATGTGACAAAATAATTCAGATACAAAAAGATATAAAGAATAATGTAATAGCTGTGTATTCAAAATAGGCCTTCAAGAAAAATTATGTGTATAGTTGAAACTGCCATTGTACCCCTTCCTCCCTCCTAGAAGGAAACACTATCCTGAATTTTTTTATCATTGCCATACATATCTTTATACTTAACATTATATGGCATTGTTTTGTAAGTTTCAAAACTATACATACAAAAACTCTGCAACTTGCTTTATCTATCAAATTCATGAGATTCATCCATGTTGTTACATGTAGTTTTAGTTCATACATTCAACACTACTGTAATTCAGTCCACTGTTTGAAAGATATCCCAATTACTGCTGGGCATTAGGTGTTTCCTTTTCTTCTACTTAACTTATGCAAAAAATTCAGACTATCTTTTTTTTTATTATTTATATATCTGTATCTAGAAGAAATTTAGGGAAGATAGAAAAAAACCCCCACTACTGGAAGATTCTCATTAGTTGGAAATAGAATACTGACTATTGCACCGTCTTGAACAAGATAGGCAGATTTGGTGAGTAAACAGCAGGGCCAGGCACTCGGACACCTCATTCTGAATCCTGGGTTTTCCTCCAATAGGCAGAAATAGGATCATGAAATAGGCTGCTTACTGCTTTTAAAGAATATGGTCCATTTCCAACACAATGGGGAGGCGTGAGGACATACTATGCTTCAAGGTCGTCTTGAAATTATGACAATTTGGGCAGCTAAAGAATACTCATGGGAGCTGGAAGAAAGTGTGTTTACTTAGAAATCCTAAGTATCTGCAAAGGATTGACCTTACAGAGAATTTCTCTTTTGAATTTGAGTGCCCTTCCTGCCTATCCTGACCCTGGGTATCTTTCCTGAGATTTATTTTCGAGCAAGGAATGAGCCAGTTGATGAAAAGCTTGAAAGCACTGCTTCACCTAATTCAAAGGTTAAAAAACCAAAGATATATTCAATACTAATTCTGAGTCCACAATGCTTCACAGAAAAAATGCTTAAAAGGAATTCATAAAAACCAAGAAAGAACATCATACTTTGTGGCTAATTGTAATAAAAACCCAGATGAGATGATGACATTTTTCCTGGTAAGGAAACAGGTTTCTGAGTTTCTGGCTCTCTCTAAAACTCCATGGTTTCATATGAAAATACGTGAGTCAGTTCCTGTCAAGGGCAGGGAGTCTGTAACATTTATTAATGATTGCTTCACTTTCCTGTCATTAACAGATGAAACTTCCTCGACTGAGAGACACATGAGGAAGGTGAAGGTCAGTCACAGTACCACCTCTCCAAAGCCAGACTTTAATTGGTTTCCTTCTACTACTCTAAGAACTACCACTTCAAACTCGTAACTGATCATATATCATAATCTGATACTTGAGCTTTGCAATTAGGTTACGCAAGGTAATAAGCAGTACTAACAATTGGTACTAGGTAGGAATATTTTCAAAACATTTTAATTAATGTTTAAATGTTTTGCAAACTAATCCTGAAAGGAATTTAACATACATCTCCGTCTGCAATATCAAGCGACCCAGGAAACCTAAGTTCCAAAGATTTCCAGAGGGTCTGAAGCTGTTTTCACCACTGTGTGCTATTATCAAATCTAGCCTACCATGTCCAAGTCTTAAGAGAAAAGGCAAGAAAAACACTTCTATTCTTTTCTTACTGTATTTCTTTCAATTATTTGAGAGAACCATATTCTTTCTTGCTTTAGTGCAACATACCCATGCTGTTCCCTCATTCTAGAAGGTTCTCCCCAGAAACCCCCCCTTTACCTACAAACTTCTATTCACCCTTCAGTTCCCAGTGAAGACATGGCTTTCTCAGAAAATCCTCTCATTTCCTCTTGCCACACTCATTGGGTCAGGTCTCTCTGTTGAACCTTTCCACAACTCCTGATACTCCTGTGTAACACTCATCACTTAAGTAATGGTTTGTTAATGTCTTTCCCCAATAGACTCTAACCTTTATGGAGACAGCAACCACATTCATCTTATTTACTGCTTATTTCTCAGCACCTAGAAAGGTGCATAATTAGTATTCAATACATGTTGCCAGATAAATGCAAATATCTCATGCTATAGAAAGCTTATGATTCTGGAAACAGAATGAACCATATATAAAAAAATTTAAAAAGCTTTTTTCCTTTTGGTTTATATTTTTGTCTTTGTTCCTAGAAAGCAGCTCATTTAGAAAAACTCCCTCTTCCCAAATAGTTTTTCCTCCCTTTGGATTTAATGGCTTCAAACCAACATTTATTTCTCTAAGCCAGTGAGTTTCAACCAGTGTGCCACTGCACAGTGGGGTGCCATGAAAGGATCTTAGGTGTGCCTCAAAAATTTTTAAAAGATCATTAATTACATTATTTTCAAAAGAAGTTCAAAGTATAGTAAGTATATTCTTTTTTTTTTTTTTTTTTTGATACAGAGCCTCAAGCTGTCCCTCTGGGTGC